CTTTCGAGGTGAAGAAAATCCTCGATCGAACAAGGTATCATGAGAAGTCCACTTGTTTGATAACCATAGAACTCACCAGCTCTATCAAGAACCCTTTGAAAACAAGGATTGCTCAGGTACGAAATTGGAATGATGAATCTTTGAGATGGGCCATTTTCTAATCCCACTAGGACTGGCACACACCCTTTCTTCAATTTTACCTTCTTTTCCTCTTGTTTATGCATCGCAGCTAGTAAAACGGATGACTGACTACTCGTGTTTGTGATCTTGATGAGAGTGTATTATTGTATTAAAGCACTACTTAAGACTCATTCTCCTACATTCAAATCGTTATTCCCTATTGCATTTTTATAGTGATAAACAAGTTAGTATGGAATTGATGTGATCTCATTCTCCTTTTAGTCTTCATTCTGTGCATTCTTTTCATGTCCCTATTCTAGTTTCTTTGATGATCATTGGATTTCCAGCCACCGTGTGCATACGATTTCTTTGCAAAAGTAAAGGCAAGACCGATTACAAAATGGAACAATCTACTAAGGTTTTTTTTGTTCAATTATTTTATGGATTAGTCCGTAAAGAATCGAATAATATTCCTCAATAACTAGAACTGAAATTTGGCTTGACTTATGTGTCTTTTTTGTGATTAATATTGTTGCTTTCAGCAAAACAAAGTCAATTACAAAACTATGACAAGCACAAGAAATTCCTACATGTATTCTATCGAAAGTACTTTGAATATGAAAAGCTCTTATACCAATTGAAAGTTTAGATTTAGCCAATTAATTTTGATCCAACGTGGGAAATTATACAATTAAAAGCAACAAGTCACTTTTTAATTGTTTTAGACGGTTAATCAATCACGTCAGATTATCCTATGATTTGAATGCTACAATCAATAATAAGAAAGTAATATAAACAACACAAAATATGTTGACAGAGAAAACCCAATTGGATAAAAACTCCGGGACCAAATCAGTCACCTTCACTATAGACAATATGAACTTATAGTATGATCTAGCCTAAAAAACCCCCTAATCTAGCTGATCTCTTCTGAAATTCGCTATCTCCTGTAGATCATCAAGAAAATCTTGTTCTTATACTCTTCTTGTACTTCTGATCCAACATCTCTCAATTTCCAGCAACCTTTGAAAATTATTAAGAAAGTACCTTCATGTACATGTATAGGAAGTGAGTGTTCACAATTACGTGAATTTGATAATTTCCCAAAGTTGCAGTTGAATGATCTCAAAAATTAAAGGATAATCTCAATTCTTGAATCTATTCTTGGATCTTGGAATGATGTTATGAAGAAGTAATATAATGAACAACCACACACAAAACGTGTTAGGGCTTGGGTATTTATAGTACGAGGTAATTAGGTAGCATTGGCAAGATAAAACTTTTGAAAAATGCGAACTAGGGTTTCATACGTAAAACTGTCGCTCGAGCTCTAGGCCAACGACAGACCAGTAGCTGCTAAGTAGTTGTCAGTATTTTTACCATAACATTCTCATTCGATGTCTAATTGAGGTGATTCAAATTATGTTAAAAAGATAACTCAATGGGCTATAATTATTCTAAAGTAGCCTTGTCAAATTCCAATTTATTCTATGTGAAAAATACATTGCAAGTTACAATTCAGAGTTTGGAACATAGTTTGTGCGGCTCTTTGACACTCTTTAAACTTCTTATTGCATTTTCTTGATCATATGTGATCTTCTTGGACATCTTGGACTCCTTCAAGGACTATTCTACCAATCACAACTCTTTTGATTTTAATTAGAACTCAATAACTCATATTTTAACTTCGATCACAACTCGATAAACTTCTAATACAATTTGGCTAAGACTTAATTTTGTCTACGAAATTATCAACACAACATAAATCCTAACAGAATATATCACATATAGTTTTCATGAAGTCAAGTCTGGGGTGGAGTGGGGTTTGATCTCTTCTCAAGGTCACCCAATTCAAAGATAAATGTTCAATTTTACTTATAAAAAAGAATTAAAAAAGTACCTGTCTATATATACATATAACATTTAAGCCTTTAGCCCACCCCGATGGCTATCATCACTTTAGCCATCTTGTCATATGATGTATAAAGACAACCAAATAGCCCCAAGGGGCATAGCCTAGTGGTGCAAATGACAGGAGTGAGGTAGTCTCAACCTTGCTGGTAGCCGTAGTGTGAGGGTTCGATTCCTGAGATATGGAATTGGACTCTTAGTGGGTATCAGTGTACATGCAAGCTCTTGTTCACTAGTCTGCTGGGACACATCCTATGATTTACCTCCCTCACCAGGAGCGGGGCGGTGGGGGACTCTCAAGGTTGGGGTTCAAACTTTTTTTTTTTTAATAAAGACAACCAAATACCTTGATGAATCAAGCATACTTCGCCCCAATTAGTGTTTGAGAAAACAAAATCCTCTACCAAGTCAATAAAACAAGTAATCTTTGTTTGATAAGTCTTTACTTAATATTAATCTCCAATCTGCATTCTGAGAAAACTCTTTTCATATTACATCTTACTTCGAATAATATATAATCTTACAGTAACAAGATATTTGGAACTATAAAACTAATTTGCACCCACCGCATCATTCCAAACCTTTATTGAGTAGTTCCGATACTATTGGGTTTTGATACCCAATAAATTTCAGGCAATAATATTAAAACGATGTTTGATAATTTATGTTAACACCTTAGTGATGGTTCGACCCAAAAAACAACTTAATTAAGATAATGTTGCTCGTGGCCCAACACTCGTGGATGACCCAAGTTAATGTTTGGCTATGGATTGGTGGTGATATATTAATGACTCATTTACTTGGTTATTTTTTGTTTAGGTTGGTGGCACAATTACCTTTCGGCCCACTTGTTGATCTAAACCTAATCCATTATATATATTTACAGTTCCAAGCCAGTTTAGTGCATGTGTTTGCATGGCAAGAGAAAATGTGAGGGCAACCGTCTTGGAGGATAGTTCAACCATTGCTACCTCTATTCTCTTCCTCTTTCGTGGGTACATTTAATCACTAGCTAAGTCTATCCTTTGTGGGCAAAACTTGTGGCAACCAGAGTATAGGAATTATGGGTCCGAGCCGAGATCATGTGTTCGTTTCGTAAGTTTTATTGAGCCTGGATCGAGGACCCTCGAAGATTTTCGTGATAAATGGCATAGAGCTTGTGTAGTTAAGAAATTTGTGATTTTTGCGTGCCAAAAATGACTGGAAGTGGCCAAAAATGAGGTTGGAAAATAGGGATGGAAATTGTCTGGTTTCTAAATTTTTTGGCCGGACCTGCAAATGCATTTTTCAGCCAAGCCAGCGGCCAATTGGAGAAACGGAGACTATCAGTGGACTCAACAAATGGAGATGTAACTCGTGGAGGAGCATGTGGTCGTCGACATCGATGCGTAGAACTCTGACACTTGCCCATGCCGATGCGTGAGGTAAATTTCGGCAACAACATCAAAAGACATAATTTTGCCAACGATGAGACGGACCCTGTGGTGTTGTCGAATTTCAATTTTGAGCAATATGATGAAATTTGAACGATATTTTTCCCTTCGATATTCGGGTGTTGGGTGTTGTTTCGTGTTACCGCTGTTGATGGAAACTTTGTGAGGACAGTGGTTAGTCCTAAAGCAGTGAATTCGCATATCTCTATATTTATGAACCTTCCGACATCGTCGGCTTAGTATCATGTTCTTTTCATTTTATTATTGTAGTTTCCAGAAGTTTTCGCAACTTAATCATAAATGATGGAATCATAAAAATTTGACCTTTTTGAACTCTATATATAACTCACTAGAGGCCCGAGAAACAAAGAGATCGTGAAGGGTAATAATTTACTTTTCTCATTAGAAGTCATCACGTGGGATGACATTAGGATTGTGGTTACTGTAAAGAGGCCACTACTGTATGTTGCTAGACTTAGGAATTAAGTTGTTAATTATTTGCCTTGAATTTTTTGTAAGTTAGTTGCCAATTAATTTTTTATTATTGGAATTGCATATAACCACAGAAAAGTTTTGTTTGACTATTCAGTGTAAATTGTATCTGTGCTTCTCTTGTGGTCATTGTTGGTTTCACTTTGTGTTTTGTGTATTTTTTTTGGTAAAATGACGACACATTTTGAGTCGTGTTTTTTAATGGAAAAATATGATTTTCAATTTGACAAAACGAAAATTTTTGTTGATAAAACTTTTGATGGCAAATATAGGTTGAAGGCAAGTGTGAAAAGTAAGAGATATTATGCGACAATCTATCTTCCACCTGGAATCCATGTCAGTAGCAATTTAAACCTGAGTGACAGATGGGATAACGAATTATAAAATTTAGTGATTAACGTGGTAATTTCTAAAGTTTAGTGAGCCGATGAAAACTTTACGCAAAATTCAGTGATAATATATACAAATAACCCCAAATTCTACACGTCGCCATAACGCCATTGCTTAGAAAATTCAACTTTTGTTGACTAGTCCCACCACTTTCCCTGATCGAGAGATACCTTGCTAAAAGCATATGTTATTCAGTTGAATTTAACTTTTCAAATATGTGATAAAGTGTTTAAATTTTAGTTCTTCATTTTTCTATTTTTAGCCTCCGCGTACATATAAAATTAATTAATTAATTAATTAAAATTAAATTTTAAATTTTAAAAATTAAAAAGAATTAAAAATTAAAAAAGTAAAAATAAAAATTTATACCTAAGCATATATAGAAGAAAGAAAAATAACTGCACAAAATTTTTAATCTTTACATCATTTTTCACTGAGCAAATTAAGGAGGCATCAATCATTGAAAAGACATAAAGAGCCTCCTCACTAAGAGCCTATTTGGGAACGATTTTTTACTCCAAAAAATTGATTTTTTTACCGTTATTTCACTATTTCAATCGTAATTTTTGATTTCTTCTCTCATAGGTGGACCCCACTTTTCTTCTAACGATCAAAAAATTAATTCTTAAAATCCATTCCAAACGGGGCCTAAATCCATAGCACAACTTTAACACGAGTTAAACGATAAAGACATGGAGAGCTGGTGATGATGGCGGCGACGGCCGTAACTGTGACTAGTGGTTTCTCTCTCAATCCGACACTGAATATCAAGAAAATCATCGACTGAACATGGCAGTCTAAGAGGGCCCGTTGTGTGGTAGCCATATACCTCTCGAGCTTCATCAAGAAGCCTTTGAAATAGAGGATGGTATAAATATGAAATTGGGATTACAAATCTTTGAAATTCATTATCATCTGCCAATCCCACTTCCACCGCCACCCACCCTTTCTTCAACTTCATCTTCTTCTTCTCCTCTTGCATATTGCAAATATGGATTCGTATGTGTATATGTATAGCGAGAGAGCGAGAGAAGTTGAAGAGAGTATAGGGAGTTAAAGAAGGCTATGGGGTGTTAATTTATAGGGGCTTAAATTTGATAAGTAATGGACGTGGGTGAAACGTACGCATACAGAATCGTTTGATTGCACTTGAAGCCTACTAATTTTCAATTTGGTCATCACTCTTGGATACCTAGTTCCCTCGTGGACGGTGGGCCTTCCTTGTTTAAACAGTAAGGATCAATTTGATGGGATTTTTATTTCTTGTAGAAAAGTTCAGCATTTTTAAAAAAAAAATTCTAATCAGATAAAATACTTTCAAAAACTTAGCTTAATAGGTTCAAAATTTTTTTTAATAAACTAAATAGTTTTTTATTTTTAAAAGAGTTATTCTATGGGTACATAAAAGGGGCACGTGAGGGTGTCCAAATAGAGGGCGACAGTTGTCACCCTTATGTACATTATTATATACCCATAGAATAATTCTTTTTAAAAACCTTACATAACATGCCTTAGTTCTTGATAGACATAGCGCACTTAGAACAAAAACTTATTTGTTTTAATGTAAAAAACAAGATACCTTTTATTATCTGCATATTAGTATTATTCTTGAGGTGTGATTCCAAAACGTAGTGTTCAAATCTAGATCATTCATCTTGTGCTTTCCTCTTAGTCCATTCATTTAATGGTTTATTCGACTAGATCTCTTGATGAGCAATCATGATGACATCATGTTAGTTGACACTATGCATGCACTTGTTCTTCACTAAACGGAAATATATGCCTATAATTATCCTCTTGTTGTTAAGTCATTTCCAACCCTTCATCATTTTGCACCAAATTTTGCACTAAATCTTGCATCAAACTAAAAATCATCTCCAACTATTACACCAAGACTTACATTAAATGAACAATGTTTAATCATTTTTTTATTCTTAATAATTTATTTATTGAAAAAATTATTTATTTATTTATTTTAAAAATACATAAATTACTAAAAGAAATAATTACGTTAAATTAAGAAAAATATTAAATTCGTTAATAAATATAAAAAATACAGTAAAATTAGTAAAAACACTAGAAAAATGAAAATATTAAATCATGCCATTAAAAAATGAAAATATTAAATCAAATAATAAAAATAAAAATGATGATGATAACAATAATAATTGTATCAAAAAATATATAACACAAATGACACAAATATCTTCCATCACTTATTTTGGCAAATGGAAAAAAATGGCAAATTTGACTTTGCACCAAAATTTTGTAACAAGTGGAGTCTTATATTCAAGAATATAAATAGGTTGAAATCTAAAACCTCTCTTTTGAATGTTGAAGATATTACACTAATTGAAATGTGAGGGAGTCTGGTCCTAAATTTGGTTGTTTGACAATGCACAAGCTACACGTACATCAAGGTTGATATCATGTTAGTTGGCATATTTTTGTACATTAATTTTAACAATACTTTTTTCAATCAATGATAAGATTTTCTACACAGGAAAATGTCAAGTTTGAAGTCAACAATTAATGCACAATAAACATAATTCAACATATAAGGAATAACTTAATGCTTCTTTTAAATAAATAATAACTCAATACTTCAAATTAATATGTGGGTACTTTTTCCCTTAAAAAAATATATCAAAAATAAAACTCATCAATGAATAAGGGATTTTAAAATTTCAAATAAATATGATCATGTTGTACTAAACATTTAAATCAAGCATTTTATGAGATGAAAATATAAACAATTTCTAATAGCTCACTTTTGAGATGGTTGATCAATCCAATAACTTTTCCTTCTTGATGATGGAGTGAAGAGAATGAAGAAGAATGAGGATTAGAACCTTACGTGTTTGTGTGTTTTCTTGAACTTTTCATCCCAATTTTTAAAAAAAAAATTCAATTATGTATATAGAATAATCATCTCTTTCATTGTTTAAAATATAGAAAACAAATCATCACATCAAACCATTTATTGCATTCAAATCAAGCATTTATTGCTCGTAAAAATGTGTAACAAAAGGTAAAATGGACCTTTTGCAACAAAAAGTGATATTTTTGCAAGAAGTTGGTGCAAATAGGAATTTTAGGGGAACTTTCAAATTTGGTGACATTTTTGAAAATTCCCGTAGAAAACATGGTAAATTGTTTGTGACTATTATTGTCAGCATTATTTATCATCGGAATTAACAATAGCCGTCGAGACCGCCGAATTGGAGTTGCAGTCTCCAAGTATTTCTGGGTGCTGTTATTGCTGTATCTACATAAAATGAACATGCATGTATACATACACAAAACACACAAAGAGAAAACTCACCATTTTTTATTTTCTTGGGCTTGTTGATGGGTAGCAGATCTTTGCCATTAAAGGAATTGAAGCCTATAACTCAGAAATTGTATCAAATCCAGCCCATAATTCTTCTGTGGTTAATTTTCCTCTCTTATTGATGATGGGTTCAGGTAATAATTGCATTTTGTGTGTATGTTCAGTTCTTGAGATTTGAGAAGGTGATAGATACAGAAAGAAATGTGTATGATAGTATGAGTAGGTTGCTGAGAGAGAGTGTGTGTGTGTGTGTGTGGCTTTTCTTAATTCGTAGAGAGAGACGGTTACAACCTTTGAGAAAAGAAAAAGACAAGATTTTATTCTCGGTTTTATGATCAGACGACATAGATGAAATTTGATAAATCATATGGTGGATAATTAGGGTAGTGGGTCCCATTGAGAAGATATATTGACCATCTGTGTTGAAAGAGCATTCAGCTACTTTTGATTCGATAAAGGTAAAGGTTTGATCGAAATTGAATCGATGTTTTATATGTGAATCCAAATTCTTTATGACCTATATTAATCTAATCAAAATTTGATCTTGAGAAATACAAGTCCAAAAGAAAGAGCCATAAATTTTCGATTAGCTAAAAACTAAGAATAATATTATTTGTACATAATGGAGTTATATAATGATTTACATACACACGATGTGTCAAGAAGAGAGGAGAATTTTCTTATAGTCACTGTGAAATATGGAGATTTAATTCACTGGACATTGTCAAAATATTTTCCATTATACTTTAATATTGTTTCTCAATATTTGTTCAATTTAAAAGATTAGAATTATTGTACTTTCAAATTGGTGTTAAAAAATGTAAAATGAGTACCTATATGTGTTTTTTCTTAAAATTTGTTGAAGGAGGGTAGAATTATAAAATTTATGAAATTTGATTTTGTGAGAAATTTGAGAATTTCAACAATCAACGGTCTGCGGTCCGGCCTAAGGTCAACAGTCTGTCCTAGCTGACATTGGACCCTCGATTCGCCCCTGGGCCTGTTGTGATCTTAAGCTTATTTTCTCGTCTTTAGTGATTGACAAAGTCATTCTTGGCCAAGTTAGAGCCTTCAATAACATGACCTACATACCACTTTTATTATATTGTCCTTTATCTAACTAAATTACTTTTTACACATCATGTTCCCTATATAATTAACTGCAATTATTTGTTTATTTAAACGTTTGCTGAAAGTGTACATATAGTCTTGTATGTAAATCTATTAACATAGCTGAATAATTGTAAAGGGACGCGACTAGAAAGAGGGACAACATAATTATGAAAAGAATAAGGAAAATGGTGATTTGCTAATGAATACCAAACAACTATCTTATATGTTTACGTATAACATCTTTAAGGTTTTACATTATCTTTACATTAGTATAGAGAGAAGTATTCTCTGTTGACCCTTAAAGTTCCTGCTCCATTCCATGATACATTAAGCAAGACTCCTATGCCAGGTACTCAATAAAATATCAAGCACAATAATACGACAATGCAGAAACAAGTTGGTGGCTGTGGTGACATTTTTGCTTATTGGCAACCTTTTCTATACCTCTTTTGAGGTGAAGAAAATCCTCAATCGAACAAGGTATTGTTGACACACTAAAAGTGCAGCGCAAATCAAATAGCCCAAAGAGTGAAGCCCAATTGGAGAGTCCAGGATAAAGGTCCAAACAAGATTATTAAGGAATGCGATGGAAGCCCACGAACATGGTAACATCATCGCCCAAACTTGCAAGACGCCCAGAATCTGAACGAATGGAGTACCTTACGGTCGCCAGAGCGATGACCTCATTCTCGCCCAAACCTTCGAATCGCCCAGGATCTTAGCAAGCATAAAACATTATGGTTATCCAAAATAGCAGTTGTTGAAATAGTTATTGAGTGATCTTATCACATTCCACGATTCAAGGAGCCCAGTTGAAGGCGGTTGAACGATAAAGAGTAATGGCAACAGTTAGAAACGACAGTTCCACGACAAGTTAACCACCATGTAGTTATACAGCAATCAAACAGTTTCCAAGCGGTTTGCCACGAAGAAATAATCAATGGAATATAAAAGGAAAAGAAGACAGAGAGAAAAGGGCCCAAATCAAATACTCTCAAATAGAGAATATGTAATTTTAATTCCTTAGTTTAAACTTAAACATTTCTTTTAGTACTCGTGTGCTTGTGCCCCTTGGAGGCATTCTGTTTAGTTCCAACTGTAAATCATCGTCAATAAAACACCCCTTTTTGGGACTTTGTCTCAAGAGGTTTGTTTCTTACACAATCATCTGATTCCTTTTTAATTGTTAGCGACTACCCGCACGAAACAATTTGGCACGCCCAGTGGGACCTTGGTGTTTGGTGTTGAAGATACAAAAGGTGAAACAATATATCTCACAAATCTGATAAGGAAGCAGCAAGTCAGGGAAGAGTCCAGTCTGTGATTGAGCGATATGAGGAGCAGCAAAACTCCCCACAAACAGAAGGACAGAGTCAGAGAAGTCACAGTCGTTACGAACCAATGACAGAGTTGAGTCCTCGAACCATGCGTGCATTGCTTGGAGAACTTACACAGGATGTCGTTGAATAGGTAAATCTACAAAATGTTCATAATATGGAAAGATTTACCCAGAATGAAAATGCACATTATGACAACATGGTCAAACAACTGAATACATTAA